CCGAATTTTGAATAAAGAAAACAAGTGACCAAATGTTACATTTAATTACAGATTCAATCAACAATGTATTTTCCCTGATTATCTATGACTTCCTTCCATCTATTAACAAGCTTACTAATTCCATTACTGTAAAATTCTTTTGGCTTTGATTCGAAGAACTCACAAATGTCAGTTTTAACCTCTTCCTGTGTTACAAAAAGCTGTTTCTTCCAAATGATTCTGTAAGCTACGAAACAAAATGGTAGTCTGAAGGAGCAAGATCGGGAGAATAAGGTGGATGAGGAATTTTCTCCCAACCAAGTTCTTCGATCTTTTGTGACGTGATTCTTGCTGTGTGGGGTCGCGCATTGTCCTGATGAAACATCACCTCTTTTCGATTCACTAGAGCAGGTCTTTTTTTTTTTCTCAAAGCTTGGTTCAAACGCTCTAATTGCTGACAGTATATTTGAGCATTAATTGTTGCATTAGGTGGTAAGAATTCAAAGTGGATTATTCCTTGGCGATCCCACCAGATTGAAAGAAGAACCTTTTGCCCATGAAGTTCCCTTCTCGGCTGTGGCTGGGGTCCTTCCCTTTACCAAGCCACTGTCTACGACGCTTAACATTTCGATAAAAGATCCATTTTTCGTCGCCAGTCACAAGTCTATCCAAAAAAGGTGAAACAAGTTGGCGAGAATGGAGAGAAGAGCAGATGTCAACTCAGGATTTGAGGTTGTTTTCAGACAATTCATGAGGCACCCATTTTCCAAGTTTAGGAACTTCTCCAAGTTGTTGAAGATGACGATGAACAGTTGTATGGTTTGAACTGAGAACCACTGAGAACCACTGCCAATTGCTCAACTGATAAAACAAGATTTTCAAGGGCTGCTTCAAGAAGCTTTTCATCAAACTCAACTGGACGCCCAGTTCAATCTTCAACTTCAAGGGTGAAATCTCCACCTCTGAATTTTGCAAACTATCTTCTGCAAGTTCTTTCATTCACACATTCCTCTCCATAAACTGAGTGAATGTTTCTAGCCGCTTCGGCTGCTGAGTTTCCTTTCTTGAACTCATAAAGCATTGTGCGGCTTAAATGATTCTTGGGTACTTCTATGTTAGTAATCAAACAGAATTTTATTTTATTGTTCTCTGAAATAAAATTTGGTCAGTTTAAATGCATCTAAACATAAAAATAATGTTCAGCTCCATTAGACATTATAAAATACTCTTTAAATTTCGTTCATTTTAACAAAAAGTTAAAATTCGGACAGAACTTATGGGATGACCTGATATATTTATCATAAAAAAATGTAAACAGAAAAATTATGGCGGATCTACTGATTGAACTGATCCGTTATATCAAATCCCATTTTGTATAAATTTCATGAGACAAGGGATTTCGTATTTTTTATATTTTTTCTTTTTCAAGATTTCCATATCTCAGCAAATAAAAATTAAATTAACCGAAAACCAAATTAATTAACACACATATAATAATCCATCTAAAAAGTATATACGTATCATAAATTACAAATAAATCAATTTGGGATCAGATCAATGCTGCTTGACAATTGCCACCCCCACTGAAAATGATTTCTATTCGATTTAAATTAAATTTAAATTTGAACAAGAAAATGACTCCTCTCCAAAATAAAGAAGGGGAAAGCCAGAAGATGAAGGTCACATCGGCAAGGTCATTGAGTAATGTTGAAATGCATCATTTTTTTCTCCATAAATTATAACATTTATTTTTAATTTAAAATCAATCATCATTTTTGACAAAAAAAAATGTCTGATACATGGCAAGGCGCGGGTAATTCGTGTAGTGTATATATATATATATGGCAATTCGAGAAAATTTTTTTATAGGAGTTTATCAGTCAATGTGGTATGAACTAAATTGTTCAATAAATAGAGTAATGTCGCAAAAATAATATTCTGAAAATTTCACGTCGGATCAATTCTTTTAAATCAAATATGTTTTTTCACTTATTTATATATATATATATATATATATATATATATATATATATATATATATATATACATCTGGACCCTTCGCCGCCCAAAAAAATGCGTAAATCAGACATCCGGAAATCTCCAGCCAGGATCGAAACCCGACTGAATTTCAATAAACAAAAAAATTCCATTAAAAGCCGTCGGCGCACGGAAGGATGAATTGGATTTTAGCGTATTCATTTTGAGATGAACAAAAGATAAATGACCGACAATGAAAAAAATTCGCTTTTATTTAATTCTCTCCACATCAGCTTTAATATAATCATGTTTACAAACCCAAACCTCTTCCCCCAGAGAGCTCAATTTTTAATTAATTTTTCAGGAGCCAATATAAAAATATTATATATATATATATATATATATAATATATTTTAAATAAGACATTCCGATGGGTAATTTTTAAATTCAGTAAATTTAGAATTAAGAAAAAAATCAGAAAACCATTTTAAAATGTACAATTTACAAATTTAAATCAGACACCTCCGTGTAGAAATTATAATAAAATTACTAAGTTATACAAATACAAAAAAACATTAATTAGTGCCAAATTCAAAAAAAAAAAAAAAAAAATGTGCGAAAAATTGTCCAGGAGAGCAATATACGCAGTTAGAACACAAACCCATAATAAATCAATCTCATAAAATCGAGTGTTAGGTGGAAAGTAAAAAAAACGTAATTATTTTTTAATACCAACAAAAAGGCAACAAGTAAAATAGACTGCAAAGGTAACTTTTAAAATAATGACATTATCAAGATGCTGACATAAAAAATAGGTTAGGAAGGAAACCGCCATCAATACTGGGATAAGCGATACTGGAATTGGGAAACCTATTTTTCTGAGAGGTTGCTTTAAGAAAAAGATTTGATTTATTTCAACCTAAAGAAGTCCTAGCTGCTCATTCAAGTCCCTTCTAGGGAAACGGTTAATATTATCATCCTGTATTCCTCAAAAGAATTTAGTATGATTCCTTGAACTTGAACATATCATCTAAAATATAAGAATCTTGCACTTTTATTTTAATTTAAAATTACTCGTAGAATACAATTAAATCGTAATTTTAGCTAATTAATAAATTTTCTCAGAATTTCAACCGAAAACAGCACTGGCTACTCGGTCAATAAATGCCAGAGTTTTTATTTTATTTTTTTTTTTTTTGTTTGTAAAACTTTAAATATTTACAATTTCTTAATACTATATCCCATTATTATATATGATGACTCCTTTAACGTCAACATAAAATCTACTATATAAGATTTTTTATTTATATTCTTATAATTTTACAATTATTCGTAAATTTAAGGAATGCCACTAAATTAACAAATTCTTTCTCAAATTAATAAATCTTGTAATTTTGAAAAAAATCAAAATGTCTTCAAATCAAAAATAATAGATGTTTTGTTTATCGTAATACAAAATATTATTTCATAATTTTTATGGAATGTCACTAAATTGCAATCTTGGCAAATTAATAAATCTTGTATTTTTGAAACAATCAAAATGTCTGTGGATTGAAAAGATGTTTTGTTTATCGTAATACAAAGATCTGAAATAATTTTATGGAATGTCACTAAATTGCATAATCTTGGCAAATTAATAAATCTTGTATTTTTGAAAAATTTCTAAAATATCTGTGGAACATTTTCAAACGTGTTTTGTTTATCGTAATACAAAGATCTGAAATAATTTTATGGAATGTCACTAAATTGCAGTCTTTGCAAATTAATAAAGCTTGTATTTTTGAAACTATCAAAATGTCTGTGGATCGAAAAGAAGATGTTTTGTTTATCGTAATACAAAGATCTGAAATAATTTTATGGAATGTCACTAAATTGCAGTCTTTGCAAATTTTCCTTAATAAAGATTGTGTTTTTTATGAAACTATCAAAATGTCTGTATTTCGAAAAAAAACTGTTTTGTTTATCGTAATACAAAGATCTGAAATAATTTTATGGAATGTCACTAAATTGCAGTTTTGCAAATTAATAAATCTTGTATTTTTGAAACAATCAAAATGTCTGTGAATCGAAAAGAAGATGTTTTGTTCATCGTAATACAAAGATTTGAAATAATTTTAAGGAACTGAATGTTACATTATACTTTCTTATATCCATGCAGATAACCATTGCATGTTGTCATGAAAAAAATGGTGTTTTAATAACATTAAATACGACCAGATAGGACAAAACAACTGCACAGCTGCGAAGATGGTCCTCTAGATTCTTCATTACAGAACGTTGCACGATCTTCACTAATGTTTACAAGATTTCTATTTCTTATTTTGTTGTCTTTTTCTTTTGAATGTATTTTTTTTTCTTTCTTTTACTCTTGATATCATTTACATTTGTGAACAAAAATATTTTCTTTTCTAAAGAGTAATTTGTTAGAATTTAATTAAAAGGCCGAATGCGCAAGAACATTTGACGGTTATGGTAAGAACGGATTTCTTAAGAAGTTGTTTGGTACCAGAAGGAAGAAAAAAAAATGTAATTATTGTTTTACTTTCAAAATCCAATGGAAAAGAAGAAAAAAAAAAAAAGGCGGCATGATTTTTCCACGTATTTGAAGTCGAAATAGATGCAAATAATAAAATAATAATAATAATGGGAAGATTTAAGATGATGGTGAATAGGATGGAGAAAAAAGAAAATGATGAAGATGAGGATAAAGAAGAAGGAAAAGGCAGAGGGAATAATAATAATAATAATAATAATAATAATAATAATAATTAATATGGGAAGAAGAAGATGATGGTGAATAGGATGGAGAAGTGCAAAAAATGAATGAAGATGAGGATAAAGAAGAAGGAAAAGGCAGAAGGGGAATAATAATAATAATAATAATAATAATAATAATAATAATAATAATTTGAAAAAAACCAGATGATGGTGATGAATAGGATGGAGAAAAAAAATGAAAAAATAATTTACCAAAAATAAAAGAAAAAGGTTTTCAAAAATAACAACAACAATAATAATAATAATAATAATGATAATAATAATGATCAGAAGAAGAAGAGAAGAAAAAAATGATGGTGAATAGGATGAAGAAGTAAAAATAATGTAGATGAGGATATAGAAGAAGGAAAAGGCAGAGGGGAATAATAATAATAATAATAATAATAATAATAATAATGGGAAGAAGAAGATGTGGCGAATAGGATGGAGAAGTAGAAAATGAAGAAGATGAGGATAAATAAGGAGGAAAAGGCAGAAGGGGAATAATAATAATAATAATAATAATAATAATAATAATAATAATAATAATCTGGGAAGAAGAAGAAGATGAGTGAATAGGATGGAATAAGTAGAAAAAAATGAAGAAGATGAGGATAAAGAAAGAAAAAAGGCAGAAAGAATAAGGAATAATAATAATAATAATAATAATGGGAAGAAGAAGATGATGGTGAATAGGATGGAGAAGTAAAAATGAAGAAGATGAGGATAAAGAAGAAAAAATAAAAATAATAAGGGAATACTAATACTACTAATAATAATAATAATGGGAAGAAAAGATGATGGTGAATAGGATGGAATAGTAGAAAATGAAGAAGATTAGGATAAAATAAGATAAGGAAAAATCAGAGGGGAATAATAATAATAATAATAATAATAATAATAATAATAATAATGATAAAATTAACATCAATTATGCCTTCAAAATACAAACACTTAAAGATTAAAAAACCTCTCTCACATTACAAAGAACTTTATTTACATAAAATGTATAAAGTCTTAGTTTTTTTTTTTACAAAGAGGATCATGAGGAAATGTCATGATGCCATTTTCTGAAATTATGTCTCTAGGTCGCGAATGAGATAAAATACTGCGTACCCAAATGTCGGAGAAATAAGAAAAGTTTTTGCATCTGGCGCTGAATACCGAGTTGAATTTTAAAACACAGATTATCAGCCGTAATCACTTTGGTTGTGTCTGCGGTGCATTACAGATTCTACGTCCTTAATTGGGCCATCGCTGACATTAAAAGAATATCAAAGAAAAAGAAGCTTCTCACTAGCAATTGCATACATCATCCTTAGGCTGATTTTGATCGTCTGTATGTGCCCCGATCCGAAAGAGGCAGAGGATTAGTTCAACTAGAACTGTCTTACAAAACCATAACAATCGGTCTTCAAAGATACCTGGAAACTAGAGAATACTGGCTGATGATCTGTGTCAAAGAACATGAAATAAATGACACTTTATTCAGTAATAAAGGATTCCAACAAATTCAAAAATGACTTTCAAGTGAGTGAAGTGCAAATAAACCATAATACACCTTCTGCAGCGGTAAAGAGCCTAAAAAAAAAAGTGTAAGCAAATGCAATGTACCAAATGCAGAAACGATGGCAAGATAAGCCTCTTCATTGTCAATACTCTGCCCGTATCAAACAAACCGATATAAACAATTCCCGTAGCCATCAGCGGTTACGTAGTGCAGGGTTAAAAACAGAAATCGAAGGGTTTATTCTTTTTGCACAGGACCAATGCTTGCTAACTAGAAATTACCAAGCACACAAACTGAAAAACTGTTAACCAGAAATATAGATTTTGTGATAAACATCAAGAAACAATTGACCATCTTGTATCAGATTGTACAGTTTTAACAGCCACTGAATGTAGATCTCGGCATGATAGATTGTTTTATCTGCATTGGAAAATATGCATCTTTTTAGAAAAAGAAAACTGCAAAAAATCACGAACATTTTCCAGACCAGTTAGAGATAGGACCTGTAACAATTTTATGGGTCTTTACAATACACACAGACAGAACAATGAAAGCTAATCGCCCAGATATCGCGATCAAAAACCATAAGAACAGAATGTGCTTTGTTATTGACATGGAAGTCCCTGCAGATTGTAATGTAGTTTCGAAGATCTTCAACACACTATCAAAATACAAGCATTTAATGTGGAAATCTAAGAAATCTAGTACATGAGGACATCAATAATTCCAGATGAAGTTGGAGTCATTGAATTGATCGTGGAATTGATTGGAGTTATGCCTTCAAGAAAGTACAGCTCTCGCATTACGAAGGGATTTATCTATGTAAAATATGTGTGATTTTAGTTTTTTTTTTTTTTTTCTTAAAATGCTCAGGGGGAAATGTCATGGAGCTGTTTTTGACTTAAAGCCTCAGATTGTGGCACAAAAAGGAAATGTGTATACAACAGAAATCCAAGGAAAAAATAATAATAATAATAATAATAATAATAATAATAATAATGGCAAGAAGAAGATGATGGTGAATAGGATGGAATTTGTTTGTTGAATTAATGAGGATTTAAGAAGAAGGAAAAGGCAGAAGTGAATAATAATAATAATAATAATAATGGGAATAAGAAGATGATGGTGAATAACTCAGGAGAAGTTTTTGTAAGAAGATGAGGATTAAGAAGAAGGAAAAGAAGAATGAATAATAATAATAATAATAATAATAATAATAATAATAATAATAATAATAATGTGAAGAAGAAGATGATGGTGAATATTTTTTTCAAGTTTTTTTTGAAGAAGATGAAAATAAAGAAGAAGGAAAAGGCAGAGGGAATTTTAATAATAATAATAATAATCATAATAATAATAATAATAATAATAATAATTTAACTATAATTGGATGAAATTTATGATATGAAAAATGGATGAAGAACTGGAAATGAAAAAGATGAGGATAGAAAAAGCCGAAAAAAATTTTAGAGGTGAATAATAAAAATAATAATTATGCCTTAAAATTAACATCAATTATGCCTTCAAAATACAAACAAAAGAAAAATGTTGTTCTCATAATTCTAACAAAATTAAAAAGACCTTTATTTACATAAAATGTATATGGAGCTATTTTTTTTTACTTAAAGCCTTTAATTGCCTCCACAAAAAAAAAAAAAATTTCAACAAAACATTTTAACCAAGGAAATAATAATAATAGATAGATAGATAGATAGATAGATAGAAGAAAAATTTTAGATAGATTTATAGATAGATAGATAGATGATAGATAGATAGATAGATAGATAAATATGAAGTGGACTTAAGATAGATAGATAGAAAAAATTTATAGATAGATTTATAATAAATATAAGAATTGAAAAGAAAAAACAAATATAGTGATGGCAATGGAAAGATGATGATGGTTTTGGTTTTTGTTCTTGGTGACTTCCAAACCTTGAAGACCTTGATACCAACAAATTTATTAAGGAACAAAACTAAAATACAGAACATACGAATAAATTTTGGCATCGAAGACAATATTCAGTTATGAAGTAAAAAGATCCGAAAAGAACATTATAAGAGATTAAGTTTGATACTAGAATGTGAACTAAATAAGACCAATGAAATTAATGTTAGCTATACTTGTAGTAACATACAGGTTCAATATTATTAAATAGAAGCTGAATAGCATTAAAAAATTGGACGCCAAGGCCAGAAAATGAAAAAAATTAAATGCAAATTTTTCCTTAAAATCAGATGTTGGTAATGATTTTTTAAGAAGTTTAAAAATGGTTGAATGTAAATAAAGTAAGAAGCATCCAGTGAGGAACAAACTCACTATTCATTGTCATAATATGTCCTCTGCGAGACAAGCTTGAACCATTACACAATTTTGAGATGCTCAAATTAGATGTTGATAGGCTTATGTAGCAAGAGCTTTAGGTTTGGTTTGTTTTGTTTTGTTTTTTACGGCATATCAACTCAATTAATTATTTAATGCCGACAAAATTTTTATTGCTGGTAATAAAATTTTTTGTCAAAAATCTATTTCTGGTAATAATTTTTTCTTCAAAAATATATTGCTGGTAATATTTTTCCCAAAAAAATATTGTTGGTAATATTTTTTTTTTTTTCTTTATTGCTGATAATAATTTTTAAAAGTATTTTGCTATCAAAAAAAATTTTTAACTTTTTATAAAATTTTTTACCCCAGTTTGGATTTCAAAAATTAACTATTTGCCCATAGCAAATATTACCTAAAAAGGTGCTAATTTATTCAAATATTCCCCACCTGAGAACACTAAAAATTAAGAGGTGGTTCCATTTTCCTCAAAATAATCCTGATCAAAGGCCTTGCAGCTGGACGTAGTTTCTCGTCTTAATTGGATGCGGATGAAGTTTATCGTCATACCCAGGACGCCATGAGCTTTAAGAAACTTAGGTCAAATCCAACTTTTACTAACTTAAAAGTTACAAACAATCTGATTGGAAGACTACCTCACAAAAAGCAAAAATTTTTTGAAATAAAAAATTAAAAAGCTGCAATCTTCCAGAAACAGCTTAATATAAATTGAAATCCTTAAAAAAAAAAAAAATTTAAAAAAAAAAAAAGGAAAAAAAAAAGCGAATGAAATAGAAACTCTACGCCAAACGATTATTAACCAAATTTTGGCTTAAATTAAATTAATAAAAATAACTGGGAGGACAAGAAAATTGCTTGGCAAATATAAAAAAATAATCGAAAGAAGCAGATGTTGACCAACAGAAAACACATCAGTGGCTGAGGAGCAATTTTTTATTTTAAACCGAGAGATGAAGGTCTAATTGTTGCAGCTCAGATCAAAGGCTTGCAACCAGCTCCTATTAATGCCACATAATCGAGGATAAAAGTAACCCGAAATGCAGGATCTGTGGAATATAATGAAAAAGACCATTTTTTTCGCAGGATGTCCGGAACTGGCAAAAAATGAATATACCCACAGACATAACAAGTTAGCGACATATGCGTACTGGAAGATACGCAAGAAGCACAAAATCGAAACCACTGAGAGATGCTATGTGCACTAACCAGACACAGTTATCAAAAATAACGATGTAACTATCCTCTGGGGTCATGCCAAATGACAGGGAAAGAAAAGCCAATAGATCCGATATTATCATAAAACAACAAGAAATTCAGGAAGTGTATCCTTATTCATTTCACAGTACTATATGAGAGAAACACCCCCATAAAAATTATCAGGAAGTTGTCCAAATACAAGGACCTGGAGATCGACAATATCGGGATGTGGGTAATGAAGACTGAGACTGTAGCAATAGTAATCGGATCTCTGGGCCTCGTGAGATCAGGAATGGACAATTTTGTTAACAGTGTCTCGGGTAACATCAACATATAAGTTGCACAGAATACCGCCCTACTGGGAACATTCCATATACTAAGAAAATTATAATCATTTAAATGATAATTCTCCTATAGAGCCTAAGGACCATAGTTTGGAACCGGCTCTACAGGATACAAAGCAGGAAACATAACATAATAATAATGGGAAGAAGATGAAACAAAACACACAAACAACAACAACAACAACAATAATAATAATAATAATAATAATAATAATAATAAACAGATCCGATATGATCATAAAAGGCGAAGAATTCAGGAAGTGTCTGCATATTGACCTAGCAGTACCATCTGAGAGAAACATGTCCATGAAAACTATCGGGGCACTGTCCAAATACAAGGACATGGAGATCAAGAATAACAGGATTTCGAAAATTATTTTATGAGAATTTAAAAAAGTAATCGGAGCTCTGGGCCTCGTGTGAACAGGAATGGACAATTTTACTAACAGTGTCCCAGGTAACATTAACAAAGAAGTTGCCCAGAAGATCGCCCTGCCAGAAACATCCTATATACTAAGAAATGTGCTATCAATGAAAAGGCGGTTCTGCTATAGGGTCTAAGGACCATAGATTGGACCCGGATCTGCAGGATACAAAGGAGGAAACATAACATACACAATTAATAATAATAATAGTAGTAGTAGTAGTAGTAGTAGGAAGAAGAAGATGAGAGAGAATAGGATGGAGAAATAGAGAGAATAATCTGAGAAAAGGTCGAGAAGCTCATTATTATACGATATTTTTTATATTATCTACAAAAACTTTTTTATTTATTATTCGTTATTATTATTAACCTGACAATGACATAGTAACTTTCAAGGATAATAAAGAAAAATGTATATACTCAAGAGAAATGAAAAAAAAAATATATATCATTTTTTAATAAAAAAGACTCCTTACATTCGTCTTTCAAGATATACACATTTTCACACATATATATATATATATATATATATATATATATATATATATATATAATATAGATATTTTGGTGCGTGCCTAATTTTGTGCGTGAATGTGCGTATAAAATTCGAACTTTAATTGTTTAAAACTATAATTTCAACACAAACCTTTTGTGTTTTCTTTTTTTTTTTTGTTTGTACTTGGTTGTATGTTTGTTTGTTTGTGTGTGTGTGTGCGTGTGTGTGTGTGTGTGTGTGTGTGTGTGTGTGTGTGTGTGTGTTTCAGCCTCTCTGTGAGTTTGCGTTGTGTATTGAAAGCGGTGACTTTTGTTTTGACTTCCATTAATTATCGTATCACGCGACATTTCCCTCTTAATTGCACGTTAATGGATTCGAAAATGAAACAAGAACGTTTGGCTATAATAAATAAACGGGCCTATTTGTAATCGACAAGTTTTCCTAATAGCAGTAACCGCTCGATTTTCCGAGATCAAGTGACAGCAAATCTCTTCTGACCCCAAAATTAAAATAATTGTAAAAACAAACAAAAAAAAACTCTGTCGTATGAAGCATTTTCATTTTTCCTCGCATTTTTTTTACAGTAAGTTCATCTTTTACAAAGCCCGGGGGCCACTTATCGTAAAAAGTTACATTAGGATGCCATTTGTGCGTAGAGGAATTGATAACAACGGTTAATCCGCGCCTTGAATAGGTTAAGATTTTGTTGATCGGGAAAACATCCCCATGGGAGTCGATTCCATACAATTATATATATTCAGAGGAGGTACGGTGGAGTAATGGATAATGGCTTGGATTGAGGAATCAGATAATTTCAATAAGCTTAAATTGGCAGCTGATCTCTAAAGTGACCATTAATTCGTTGTTAACTGGGGCAAGAAATGACTTGTTAATTTTATCGCCTCCAAAACGAAAACTGCTCTATCTCTACCTCTCTCTCAATCGTATTAGAAACCCATTATTTCTCTTTCATCAGCATGGCTGATACTATCCCTCACGAGAGGAGGTCATGACCGCATTTTGGTCTAACGGTTTCCACTGACCTGATGTGAGACGGTGGTATTGAACCAATTACTCGGTCTGCGACGGAAAGGGGGATATTTCGTTGTATCGTGCCAGGCAATTTTTCTCGACAGAATGTATCTTGTCCCTTTTATAAACATAGCCGGGCATTTGACCTTCAGACATTTGGCCGACGGACATTTGACTGCGAGACATTTGGGCGAACGGATATGTGACCGACGGAAATTTCACCGAAAAATACAAGTAAAAATAGTACCAAGCAATACTTTAAGTATTTTAATTAGCAGTATTATAAGTTAGAATAGAACTAATAATTACTACTGAATTCCAAGTGATTAAATTACTAAATCTAAATTTAAACTTAAAAGTTTTCTTATTTCAATACTTGTTTATTGAAATTTGTATTCAAAAAATATTTGAATGTATCTGGGTAAAAAGTAGCACCTAATTATTTAAATTTGTATTCACAGTAAGATAAAAGCTAATTCCTTCCTTTAAGATAATGACAATTAAAAGCGAAATTAAAAGATCTTTCATCGCGTAAATGCTTAAAATGTTTGCTGTAGTAAAATGTGCTTTTTCTCAAAATACTTATCATCTTACAGTAATATTTAAAGTAAAATATAATATATACAGAATAGATTTTAAAAAAAGAAAACAACGAAAACTTATAAATTAATGCAGTAAATAAATATAAATATATGTAGCACATTACAATAAAGAGTCTGACATACTTGTAAGTACGCCACTAAATTTTCGGCTAAACGTCCATATGGTTAAATGTCCGTCGGCAAAAGGTCTGAGTACCTTTTATAAATCTAGAATTCGTCCGTACATTGAGTATTGTTGATAGGCACGTCTGCTATGCATGTAGAGATTTTTAATGAAAGAATCTTCAATGTTATCAATCCTGACCTGGCATCTTTCCCACCGGTACAACGTAACTGTGATTTTTTTCTATAAATATTTACTTAGCGATTGTTCAGATGAGGTCTTATCTCATATTGGGATGTAGATTTTTAAAATGTTGTTTTCTTTCCCCACTCCACAGACAAGAATTGTACGTATGGGGACTAATTAGGACTTCATAGAGATTCTGAGGTATTATGGTGAATGTTGTGAGAATGGTTTTTTAGAATACATTTGTTTTGGTGTCTAAATGTTTATTTATGTTTTTTTAATGATTATGGATAGAAAGGTTTAATTGTAAAGACAGATTCAGTTTGAAGGGAGACCATTCTTTCTCGATCCACCCGTTTAAGACCTTATTCAAATTCATATTTTTGTATATTTTTACAAATTATCAACTTTCATCCCTAGTACTTGGTATTTAATGGACATTTTATGTAGTAATGTCTGCGTTCAGGAATATATTCAACGGCTCAGAATGAAAACTTTAAAAATATTCCATTCGAATCCTAGTCGAGTTCGTTATATTCGCTTACGCACAAATACCGTCTAAGGTATTAATTAAGCGGTTCCCCATCTATTAGCTATGGGGGCTTCAGTAGCAGATTAGGTTATTAGCCATGGTTAGTAAGCAGTCTACTGCAGAAAGAAATATCTATTTTAGAACGGGAAAAATCTGCTGCCTCGTCAGTTATGAACCGAAAGATCAATGATCGCATTATCGTGTATTTTCGCATGGTATATAACTGACTGACTAGATTAGCAGCTGTGGTTAATCATTTCACTGTTGACATTGCTAGGTGTCACCGTAAGGACTGTTTTCATAGTTTCTTCTCTTACTCTTCTCACCTGTAGAACTACCTTTCCCCTCTGCAATCGTCAAAGACTAAATGCAGCGTCTATCGTCGTCTTCTGTCTCCTCAATTCCTGCTTTTGTTATTGTTGTCCTCTCTATAATAATGTTGGTCTTTTAGATCATATCAAAAAACAAATTACATTCAAATTTTTATACATCGTAAGCATGGATGTTGCGGTTCGAGTATTTAACGGATCCGAATTGGAACAGGGAGAAAAGAGTTCTAATTCCAGTCGTGTTAATTATATTCATGTATTCGTGCAAATAATCTTGGGAAAGGTATTTACGCAAATACCCTTGCGAGTGGTATGGAGCAACCTGTTATAAACCAAATAATTGAGCATCATTACTGTTGGTAAAGCTCTCCCCCATTACAATTCATGGACTCGTCCAAAGTATACTTATACTGACAGAAAGAATACCTTGTTGAGTTACGTTGAGATTTCACGTGGAGATACGTTGAGAGATACGGAGACAGACACTCCTCTTCTCAGATTCCAAAAGAGATGAGAAAACAGAATCTCCACCTTTATTTTTCTACTAACCCGCATTCCTGGACTACTAATCTTCACTTCAAGTCTGTATTCTTAAAAATTTAATACAATTATTTTTAATATCTCAATTACTGGCGTTTATTTATTTATTTTTGACAGGATTTGTTTTGGAATCCACAACATTTAGTATCAGTAAATCAAATTTCCTTTATTTGCGCTATTTATTTAATTATAAATATTTTCTCGCTTTAATTTTTTATTTATCACTATTTCACTTGAAGCAAGGCCTTGTGCCACTAGCACGCACGGTGTTTTAGAGGAAAGAGTAAAGAGGGGGTGTTTGAGGAAAGGATATAGAAAAGACGGGGATCAAGATCAAGGCATCAGAAGATGTCGATTGACATTACATTTGAATATTTGAAGATTATAGCTATCAGGGAAGCAAAAATATGAAAGAAGTTCCACTGTCGGAAAGTGCGAGGTAAGAAGCTGTTGGAGTAGAAGAAACATCTTCTTTGTATTTAAAATGCAATGATTATGCACTGTATATTAAACTAAAACACACTTTATATTATATGGAAATTGAACAAATTCTCAGTTTGCCAGTATTGTCAATTTAAATTTCAAATTTAAATCCAATAAATTTTGATAAAATTTACATCTTACTGTATTGGAATAACATTTAATAGGTTGTCCTTATTCATTTACTGCACGGCTACATGTTTAAGTATTATAGATTTTGTTTATTCTTACATCAATATAATCATGAAATATGTTAACAGCACAAATGTTTAAGGGTACGAGTTAACAATTTGAGGACTTGGTTTGATAAATTCAAATGATATTAGCATCAAACTACATTTAGAAATGGTTTAATATCTAAAAACATAATAATATAATACATATTTTTATATAAGAATAAAAAATACAGTATAAAATATATTCAATTTAAATATTTAGTAGATATACAGTATAAAAAAAACGAAGTATTAAAAGTATTGTAATATTGTATAATAATACAATAGTATATATATATATATATATATATATTTATATATATATATATATATATAATATATATAAAGTTGTCAAGAAAAGTTGATTTTTAATTATATGGATGCTTTGATTGGTCATTTTAGTTTATTTAACAGAAAAACACCATTGTGAAGGATCGTTAATTAATTTGAAATTTTTTTTAATTGTTATTCTTTGATTCAACATCATCAATTGATGAGACACCTTTTATTGATTTAAACAAAATGGCTATTTTGTAGTGATTTTAAAGATATATTTATTTACAATTTTAAATAAATTATATTTATATATATATATCTATATATATATATATTTATTTATATATATATATATATATATATATATATACAGAAAAATATATGAAAAACAAAAATTGAATATGCAAATATTGCTCATTTTTTTCATAACTGTATTAAAAAACTATGTCCTAAAGAAGGTCTATAAGGAGGGAAACGTCTGACATCGACAGTGAAATAACATTAAAACAGCATATTTGTTTATTCGCTTTTTTTTTTTTCCATTGTTTTCTAATATAATATATATATATATATATATATATATATATATATTATATAAAATATATTAATAAAACCATATAATATATAAAAAAAACAAATATATCAAATACAGTATATTTTCTTATTTTTTTTAAAACGTTTTTACCATTACGTTTATATCAAATATGTAGTTTGAAATAATGGCGGAAACCATAAAATTTCTATCGAAAATAATTTTGTATATTTGAAACGAATTTTCCTACAAAATTTTGTTTTCTGAATAATTCGTAAGTCGAGGCTTTACTTTTATCAGTATTTTTTTTTTTTTCATTTTCCATGGTTGTAGAGAATTTGGAAATTCCAAATGAAATTTGATTTCGTCATGAAAGAGAAATTTTTATATTTTTATATATATAAAGACAATAAAATCAGCAAAATAATCAATATTTGATTTCCCAAGAGGAATCTCTAAACGATCCAACCTAAATGTGGCCTTTCAAATTATAAAGAAGTTTTATAAATCTTCAATGTCA